TCAAACTCCCAATGGATGTCATAAATTGTTTACAGACAGGCCAACCTTCCATATAGAGATATTTCCCCGGTGATAGGCCAACAAAGTTTTGCATATTAAGCGAGGCGAAGATTTATCGGAACATCTATCTCCGACAATGGGAGCAATTACCATGGCTAATTACGGCCAGTGCCCCGCACCCCGAAAATAAATCCCTTTCGGCTGTGATCTGGTTTCGTCAGTGGAAAAAAAGGTGGAAAAGTGGAAAAGCGTAGAACGGTTGCCAAGGCCGACGGCCCACGGCGGTGTAAACTTGTTCGCCAGTAATTAGATTCACTCCCGATTAGCATACTATGTATATACATACATATGTATGTATGTATCTCCCTCTCTTCGTATAACTTTTTCTATTTAAGACCTCCCCCGTCAGCTGTTCTAGTTGGGATCTTCGATCAACTGGCGACCGAAACCCACAAGCTGAGCACTAATTCCCCGATAAGATCCGTTTGTTTGTTTACAAGCCACTTGGCGCAGTTAGAGATACAGATACAGATACAGCTAGAGATAGATAAATAGGTGTAGAAGGAGGTACAGGTAGCACTCGCTAATTGACAGGCGTTGGCTCTAGGGCGTCTGCTCTTATGACTATTCAAGAAACCACAATATTTTGCCAATCTATTAGAAACTAACGGTGATAATCACTTAATTATACATCTTTAGAAATATATACTTTTGGGTTGCATAGAAAACATTGTATCTTAGTAAATTAAATGCAAATATTTAAGAAGATAAAAAATATTGTTATGAATTTAATAACAGTAATTGTTACTAATGACACGATACATTTGTATTACTGTAATTATTAAAAAAAAAAAAATCTAAGGGGTTAGACTATTTTTTAAATTGCATTGCAAATAACTTTAAGATTGCATTTGGCCAATTTCCCACGCAATAAGAAAGTGCGCAATAAGCTGCAGCAACTGCAATTACTGTCACTATTGATTTGCTTGTTAAATAATAAATTGTGTGGGTGTCTTCGGCCAACTTGTTTACCTTTAAGTCGGCTATAATTTCTTTAGGGTTGGCTTTAATGCCAACGACGACTGTGTTAAACAGATGTACAGATATAGCTACAGTTACTCACTAACTGTTATGCAAAAAGACTGGGAAAAAAAAACGTTAAGCTAAGCTGTGCGAAAGTGTGAAAGTTATGCGAATGAATGTGCGGTGGAAGAGTAAAAGAGATGGGGCTCGAAAGGGGTGAAAGAGATGGCTTTACGGCCTGTTCGCAGCTTCTTTTACGTTTTATTCCCCACATTCTGGCCAAAATGACAGAAAATTACCTCAGGTAAAAAAGAATTTGTATAGCTCCTCTGTTTTTTTTGTTTTTTTTTTTTTTTTTGGATTTGGGAACTCTTCTTCTCGTTGCTGTGATGTAGTTATTGGGGTTTTTCTTTTGTGGGGTTGTTGTTGCACCGGCAAAAAAGCACGTAAAAAAACACTTGATGGCAAAGGGTGTGACTAAATCCTGTGCGTTTCTCTTGTTCCTTGTCAAATTTCGTGCGATTGGTAAATAAATAATAGAGTGTTAAAAAAAAAATAAGCGATCGTTGTTGACTGTTGTTGAGCGTTGTTGTTTTGGGTATTTGTTGTTTTTCACGGAGCGTCGGCACGTTGCAATCGATCGAGTACCAAAATCAGACTGAAGTTTCCAATCAGAATCAAAGCCGCCTAAAGTGGCCGCCGCTTAAACGCTGTCGTCACCGCCGGACGACTTCGGCAGCGACGCAAGCAGCAACGCCGGCAGCGACGTCGGCAGCGAGCCGAGATATGACCGAATACGAAAAAGCGACGAATACGAAGATGACGCGACCGGCCGCACAGTGGCACAAATCGCACATATCAGCTTGATAAAAATAAAATTGATATTTATAAAATTGGTTTTTCCAATTGCGAAAACCAAAATATTTATCAAGAAAGTTCAAAATACCAAACAACTATTCATATCTATGTAAAAAAGTAACTAATACTATCCATGATCTTGAAATCTTATCTTAAACCCTTCAAAATTTACAAGAAATATGGTAAAAATTTATCAAAGATAAAAAAAATGTTTTGAGCTATCTTTTTCAGGTCTTTGAAAATAATATCTAACAAAAAAATGCGCGGGAATTCAAAATTAATTGAAACATATAGGTTAACAAATAGTCATCGATCAACAATTAGTCACATTATCACCTGGTAGTTCCCCTCCTTTTTCCGTTCAATAAAAATATAACCAATATTTTTGTATATTGCTCATACGCTGCGATTGCATTGAAACGTGTGCGATTTCGGTTTTTCGTGAAAAGAAACCGTGTCCGTGTGGATCAGCAATAATAAATCACTCAATCGGCGGCCGGAGGTGGGTGTCATTGTTGCAATATGTTAATAAACACCTTAAGCCCAAGCAAGTGTGTTTTTTTTTTTTTAAATACAACTCGAAACTATTTCCAGCGTTTTTGGAAAGCACTCGAGCCGCTGGCGCCCACCATTCCATCGAATCGTAACGATTTGTCTTCGAACAGGCCCCAAAAAATTACTCATCGACGTTGGCGCAGACGTTGCGCAGACGCAGACGCAGACGTCGTGACTAGACGGTCGTTCTAATTTACCCCACTGTCCGACGTCCAGTTTTGTGGCCCACTGTCCACCGTCCGTTGGCCACTTGCTGCATTTGGCCATTTGCCATACGCGGGTGTTTTATTTACTTTTTTTATTTATTATTATTTTACATTCGTTACTCCGTGTGTGCCAATTCAACTTTGGCTCAGCTCACTGATTTATTCAACAGTCGACGGCTGGCGACCCACGCGATTTTTCGACTCGGGCCTGAATCGAATCGAATTGACTCGAATCGAACTCGAAGTCGAATTGAATCGCCTCATGGCCAAAGTCGCGGAGATCGTGGCCAGCCAACGCTGGCTTTTTGGTGTCTTGTTCTACTCTGAGCCGGGATATGATCGGCCAGGGATGCACGCCACTTCACAAATTCATAATTTCACAAATTGGTTTCCATAACTTAAAGATACACGATTTAATGAACTGTTTGCCAGTGTGATTTAAACTCTATTCCGTATGCACCAAAAAAAAGTAACCTACTCACGGCCACTAAACTTATATTTTTATAACAAATTTCTTAAAAAGAATACAGATTATAGAAAAAAATATAATTATAAATGCAAGTTTAATTTTGAACATGTATTGGCTTCGCTCGTTAAATTAAAATAAATTTTAGTTGATAAGATAAGAAATTGTTTTTGAATTGCTTGGAAACTGATAAGATTTATTATGACAAATCATCGTGTGCTATTAATGGCTATTTTCATTAGCATTTCAGGTGCTGTCTTTTGCTTTACACCTCTGAAATTTGTTATCTCCGAGACACCATTGTAATTTATGCAGCTAAGTTTATGGTCATTTAATATGGGTGTAAATTTTACTTTTATATACAATCACATTAAGGATTTGATTAGACAAGAAACTGCCGGGCGAGCTATTAGAATTTTTTGTATGTTAACTAATTAAAAAAAATACTAAACAGGGGAGATTATTCGCATTTTTTTATTTATATTTATTTACTATTCACCCATCCCTGTTCAAGGAGCAAAGCAGAATAGATTGCAGAGAGAAAAGAGAAAGGAGGATGAGCAGAAGAAGAAGGAGAAGGAGGAGGAGGAGGAGGAGGCCAACAGCGGTCAGCGGGCTCAGAGGCCAAAGCTGAAATTGATTCATGGCCAATGAGTCATCATCTCAGGCTTTTTTATCAGCACCCGCCGCAGTCGCAGCGCAGTTGCAGCGCAGTTGCAGCGCAGTCACAGCGCAGCCTCCCAATTTGTCTCTCCCTCTCTCTCTCCCTCTCTCTTGCACTCACTCTGCATCTTTCTCTCTCGCTCCAATGACGATTGCGTGGGCTGACGATCGTCTGCTGCTGCTTCTTCTTCTATCGTCTGTTATTTTCTGTCATTTTTGTTGCTTTTTTTTATACCCTCATATTATAGATCATAAGCTAGGAATTTTATGCTATATAATAAGTTTCTAAAAGAGGTTCTTAAAAACCCGTCCCCAAAATTTCTAACTTTTAGTTATATGAAAAGAATATTTGGCATTTCATAATATGATAATATGATATCATTATCTTAAATGGTTCCCTTTATCTAAAGTCCTTTGTAACTTCCAATGATCTTTTAGATAACTTACTATGTCGTATCACATTATTATTTATCTAAGAACATCAAGTTCTAAATGTTTCCTAACTTTTGGATATAAGGCGGTTGGTAAATTAACCTTCATTATATACATTTTTCGATCCAAGGGTATTCTAACATCGCTTTGGAGAAAACTAGCACATCTTTGTTATTCTTGACTAATGCAGATAGATAGATCATTTTTTTGGCCAGGTAACCGATGCGACATCGTCATCGATTTTCCACTGACTTTTCTAACGACTTTTTAACGATTATTGCCAATGTCTGAGCCAAGTCAGCGACTAGCGGCCCACGCCGCTAAATGAGCTACAGTGAGCAACCCCATAAATGACCCAATTTGGCCAGGTTGAACTGGGTTGGCTTTGGTTTGCTTTTGGTTTGGTTTGGGTTGACGGCAACGGCGACGGCGATGGCGATGGAAACGGAGACTGACTAACCGAGTGAGTGGATCTCTGGCCATGGATGGTCTGGATCGCTTCTGGCCAGTTCTCGAATGTGTCGTCTGGGGAAAAACAGGGCTTTAAAGGCAATGCCATTGGCAATGAGCTGGGAATGGGGACACAAGTCCGGCAAGGAGGCAATGAACTGCAGCCAGATGTTTGCACAACAATCACAGTGCTTTAAACAAATGAAATCTAATAAAGTGCAAGAATATGCATACAATAAAATAAAATAAGGATTAAATTGAGAACTCTGATAGTAGATAAATTTTTCTTAAAAATAAATAAAATAATCTGCAAAAATGTATAATTAAAAGAATACCCAAAAACTTACCATTTTCCTCAGCAATTCCTCATTTTGTATATCACCCAAATCGCATTCCACCTCCATGGCAGATGATTGAAAACTGAAAAAAAAAAACATACATACATAAATAATATTATACAAGATATTACAGCGCAGATTAAGATTAATTCCATAGAGGGTGGTCAGAGATTTTCTGTTTTGGCTGATGATGCAATTATTTGGCTGCACATTTCTCATGTTGATTTATTTGATGATTATAAAATGTCGCTGGTCCGCAAAGTTAACTGAGTAATATCAATTGCCATCGATCATGATCAGTGTTATGGGCACTGTGAACGAGGCAAGCCAGAATCGGATGGAATCGTCCAGAATCGGTCAGAGTCGCTTCGATCTCCACACCCCAACAAGTTGTGACATTTCCCCCGTAAATGGATAACTTCAAACATGGACAGCAATTGCATATACAAAAAAAAAAAAAAAAAAAAACACTCGCACACACAACACAGTCAAGTGCATCGCTATTGCACCGAGAGAAACTGACGATCGGAGTTGGATACCGCTAAATGCAAATTCTCTTAGTTAAGCTTAAAACTGCCTGTACACTCAGAAAAAAAACCAAGAGTTTTGTTCTTGTTTTAAGTATAAACGCTCATGAAAGTGAGTCAAGTTAGGAAAATTCTTATTTATGTCATAAATTCTGTTTTTAAGAACGTTTCATTCTTAAACCATAATTCTTTATTTAAGAGACTTTTGGTCGATAATTAACAGTAAATAGTACTTAAATTAATATTGAATTCTGCTTAAATTAAGTTTTAATTTTTTTTAAATCAAGTATAACGTGCACTTAATTGAAGTACGAATTATACTCGAATCAAGTATTAAAAATTCTTTAATCAAGAAAGATCATTATTTGAGTTAAGAGTGCATGCGGCTTAAATAAAGAACAATAAATTCATATTTTAAACATTACGAACTCTTTAAAAAAGAATATTTCAATCTCAAATCAAGAAAGATACTATCCCAATTTAATTAAATAAAACTCCTAGCATGAGCATTATTGTTCTTATAATAAGACAAAATTTTGCTTTATTTAAGAGCATATAAATCCATTTCCAAACCTAAAAAGTTATTAAAAAAAGCACTGCTATTCCTTGAATTAAGGAAATATAAGGTGAGTTATTTATTAAATTATACTCGCAAAAACCTTGGTTTTTTGACATTTTAAATTTTTGTATTTATTTTTAATTTTAATTGTTTGCTTAAATTTATTTATTATTGTTTTCTTATAACTAACTGGAAAAAGGGATTACAATTTATATTTTATTATTGATATGTTTTGGAAATGCAGAGGCATAATGGACCATGAAATGAAATGAAATTATTTTATTAAAGTTTTAGCTGAAGAAATAACTTACCTCTGCCTTCCTCCATGAAAAAAGCTTCTCCCGAAACCTCAGGCGGGGTCCCAACGGAGGCACAGCTTCGCTTAAATTTTCTTCCGTTATGATATATTTTAAATCACTATATCTTATTTGAGCATCTAAAAATTTAAAATTAATTTTGAAATTGCTTATAATTATATAATTTAATTATAATTTAATAATTTTATTTATTAAAAACGTATTTGCTTACTCATATATGGTACACTGGTAAAAAACGAAATATTGAATCTAAATATGTGAATATTAATTTAAATATGAATGAAGTCATGCTATTTAATATGTATTGTATTTAATATTATGATTTAATATGAAATATGTCAATATATGAGTAACATATTAAAATCAAATATTTCATTTTTTTATCAGTGCACATGTATACGTATGTATACATGTATATGTATGTGTAAATACTATGTGTGCACATAATTAGTGCACATGCACTAGCAATCAAGAATAATTTGCAGATCACAGGAATGCATGTTAAAATAGTAAGAAAACCAACTTAAAAGTGATCGTACACATAAAACGTAAAAAAAAGCGGTCCGTAGCTTGTTCCATGAAAAAAATAGGTTGAAACTTTTCTATACAAGCTACGTACCGCTCTTTTTTTTACCGTTTGTATGTATGCTCACTTTTTAAGTTGGTTTTCTTACTATTCTCTAAGCGTTTTATTATTAGCAACCTATTTCAACGCATTATTTATTTTTTTTAGGATTGCAGGTTCATTAGGTTAGGTTCTTTAAGCCGGTCGCGCACACACGTTCTTTTAAGTATATAAATAAATAGTACATAAGACAAAACTCCGACGCGCACTTTTATTAAATAAACCTTTTATTACGCTTGGCTTGTATTACTTACCTTTAAGGTATTCACGAATGTCTTCACATTCGTTTTCCTTCAAAAATTCCTCCAGCTTTTCGTCTTCCGCACTCATTTTCACAATAAACTTCAAACTTAAAAACGAGGAGCTTCTTCCTAGAGCTGGCCTAAGCACTCAGAATAATATCGATTGTCGATAGACGCTTTTTTCAGCAGTTGGCCATACCGCTCAGATTTGCTCATGTTATAACTCTAATCTATATATCCTCCCAGGCGTAGTTTTCCAACAGGAATATTATTTAAGCAACAACTTTTAGTTTTTGTTTATGCTGGGGCTACAAAAAAAATAAAACAAAAATTAAATACCGACTATCGATGTTTTTCCATCTCTACTCATCACACACGCTTTACAAAAAGCACACATACATTTATGTGTGTATTGTTTGACAACAGTTATTTCGGCTTATTCCGGGAAAGCGTTGCTTTCAAGAATCCGTTATGTCTTAAAAAATGCACATCGTATATAGTACGCACAAACTTGTATGTACAAACAAATACGAATGACGCTATAAATTTGTTTTAAGAATTTTGCTCTATCCTGTTAAAAATAATGAGAGAAAAGAATGACGGATCTTAAAAAGATTTTAGCTTGATTAAAGAAATGTTTTTTCTTAAATTTGTTCACTACATTTGAGTACATGCCTTCCTTAATTTAAGAATTTCCTATACTTGATTTTCTGAAAGCATGAACTGCGATAGATTGATATAAGAAAATTTTCTACTTATTATGAGGAATATTCTCTTGGAATTTGTTCTTCTTAATATAAATCGAAATCATACTTAAAATAAGAATTTTCTACTTGTTTTAAGAATTTTATACTTGAATCAAGTATTATTAAGGATTAATTGTAGTTTAAGAATTATTTTTTCTTAATTTAAGCAGAATAGGAAAAAAAATACTCAAAACAAGAATATCAAAAATCAAGTACTATCGTACTTAATTTTAGAGCGGCGTTTTTTTCTGAGTGTACAATATGCATTTTACGTGGCATTTTTTGAATAAAGTATTTTTCGGCTTACTGATATTTTGTACCCAATTTATATATTTTTCGCCCTTATTTTCCTCCCTTGCAATTTTTAGTGATATTAAATTTGAAAATAATAAATGTTATTTTTTAACTATTTGTAGAAAAAAAACTTAGTTAATTTTTTGTTCGCTGTGCATTTGAGTTGCTAGCTTGATAAGCATGGCCGCAACATTTTGGCTTCGCTTTTGGTTAGCATCAACGGGCTCGGTCAACTGACAATGCATCTAAGGGGGCGTGGATGGGGGCGGTTAGGAGGGGGGTTGTCCGGGGAAATGCTCGGCCAAAAGCCAAACAAGTTCAAAACCACAATTGGGCAAACACTCGTTGGCCCCAGAGCCCCATTCAATCAAGCAATTGAACTTGAAAACTGAGCCAGCTTCAAAGTGAGCACCTAACGATTGATTTTTAGGGGGAGGTGATGGGTCAGGTAGAAAGGTCTGGTCAAGTTAGCAAATATCTCAATGAATTGCGGCAACTTGACATCCACCTTAGTAAAATATCAATAAGAAATAGATTTTTTTTTTAATTTGTCGCACATACAAAATACAAAGAGGCTTAGGTTTTTTTTTTCATAAAAAGTATAGTTTCCAATTGAAAATTGTAAATAAAAAAGGAGATATATTTGTTATCTGTTGAAAATCAAAAGACAATCTTGCCCAACAAAAATCTGCTCACCATTTTCTTTAGTCTTAAAATCATTACAATGCTATTCTTCTACAAATGTATCATACTTTTAAATGTAAAATCATAGCTTTGAATATGTTTCCAAAAAAGTAGTTCAAACTGTCTTAAATCAATTTGTAGCTATTATCATAATCCACCATAACAATTTAAGAACAATATCTAAACTCCTCATAAATCAAAGCGGTCAAACGTCAGACGAATATCCATTTAACGCATTTATGGATCATCAATCAAAGCGGAGGTCCAATAAACATATGTCCGCCAGACCAAATGATACACTTTATATCACGATCCGTATGCAATACCTTATACAAATCGCGTGGGCTGGCGTGTGGCCAATGCCCTAAGAACGGCGATCGTCGATCGCATAAATTCATAAATTTACCAAAACGGCATAACGAAACCGTCATATTTTGCTGTTAGGCAATTAAAAACCGTTTTATTATCGAAAATCACTCTGTTTTGGTCAGTCAAGATTTATGGCTAACAAAATAAGCATAGATGCAAATTTAAGGCAGTATGACACTGTACGTTCATGGAGAAAAAAAACAGTGTTATTTGAGAAACAGCAGCTGCTTCTCGAAAAAGTTTTCAAACTAAAATTCAATTTCTTAGGAATTTAAAAAAACTTATTGACCAGTGTCATATAGCCATAATATTTTCATAGTTCTTCTGAGACGCCGCTAGATGGCGACAGGTCAGGAAAACCACAAAAATCGCCACAAAACTGTTAGAATTTCTCCCTCAACATTGTAGTCAATCTTGTGCCTCTGTCACCCTCTATATAGTATATGGGAATATATCTTTCTGTACTGTACCTGTGTAGTAATTGTACTCACCTGCTGTGCTGCTGCTGCTGCTTCTCTTACTGTTTGTTATCAGAGGGACGTCGACTTCTCGAGGCTTTTGTAATTCAAGACGAGGCGACAGCGAGCAGCAAATGTGTGTATTTTTGTGTACTTGGCAAATATTTAAACAGTAAATAGTTTAATTTACGGAAAGATCAAATTGCGACGGCTCTCCGGCGAAAAGTTGTCAGCGACTTGAGCGCGGTTAAAACGCGGGCG